TGTTTTTTTGTTATTTTAGATATTTTTTATGGTAATTTTAGATTTTATTTTTATTTATCTTGTTTTGTGCATGTTTGTTATATTTAAAACATATATATATTTAATTAATCTCTTTGTTATTGATTTTCCAAATAGGTAGCATATATCAATTTAATCTCTTTAATATTTATTTTTTACATTAATTTTATTTTAATTATAATGCTATTTTGACATGCTATAACTGGACATTCTAAATTTTGTGTGGACTTCTCTCAAAATCTTATACCATCATTTGTTTTTTTTTAGTTAATTTATTTATGATAATTTTTCAAAATATTAGTCCAAATAACAAGCTAGGTTTTCTTTATACAACTTTTTCCTTTGCTAATTTACCTCTCTTGATATTTATTTATATTTTATTTAAATATATAATTATTTTAAAAATATTGATATTTTTGAAGACATAAATTCATTTTTTGTTTTTTTTGTTAGTTAAATATTTTTATATTGATTTCATAAGTAGTTAGTTTGATATCAAGTAAATTTCTTTTTATGTGATTTTTTTAATTTAGCATTTTTTATAACTTAATTTTCATTTTATTTTTATTTTTTAATTAATTTCATAATATTTATTTCTTAAATCATTAGCTTAAATATTTAACTTCTTTCTGTTAGTAAAGTTTTTTACTATTGCTTAAGTTTTTGTATTTTCTTACTTATTTTGTTTATATTGATTTTGTTAAATAAAAAATAGCATAGATATCAACTTAATGTCTTTTTTTGTTAATTTAACTTTTTGATATGAATTTTTATTTTAATTGTATTGACAGGTTGCGAAAAATAATTTGATATTTTCATATTTGATATTTTCTAAGAGATAGGTTATCAAAAATTTTAGAAAATAATTTTATTTAACAAAATAATTTTTTGCAAAAAATAATTTCATATTTGATATTTTTTAAGAGATAGGTTATCAAAATTTTTTTGAACATGTCAATATAATATAGTTTACAATATAGTAAATCCAAGTTTATAATATTGATATTTTCTTTTCCAATAAATGAACCATTTTAAATTTATTACTTACATTTGTATAAAATTTTCCTTTTTACTTTATTGATGATGTTGATATATACTGTTTTCGTTACTAACATATTGATAAATAGTTTTTCCTTTCCATTATTAAAAAATATATTACTATTGATATTGTTCTTTATTAATATTATAACTAATTAATTTAATAGATAGATAATTAATTATCAACGCTGATGTGTACCAATAGAATTGAAATTTTAAATCCTATGTGGACATCCTTAGATGCATTTAGCATCAATTTTTATTAGTAATAAAAAATAATTTCATATTTGATATTTTCTAAGAGATAGGTTATCAAAATTTTTTTGAACATGGCAATATAAGGGTCGTGCCTACCCTATAGCAAAAGAGGCCTTCACCTACGGCCCCATTTGGAAAAAAACAATTAGTAGGTTTTAGTTATTTTTCATAAGTAATCCCAAATAAATATGGTGAAAATCTTAAATAAATATTACATTTATCTTTAAGCAAAAAACAATTATAGTAAAATAATTAATATAAATAGAAACAAATTAAGAAAGAAAGCGAGTGATGATTGTTTGATGGCGTCTTGTACCAAACTTGAAAAATCTTTAACCCATAGAGAGCATTCAAACATTATCAATAATGAGATAAGCTTTACCCAAAAAAGTAAAAAAGTCTATTGAAGTGTTAGATTTTTTGAAGAGCAGCAAGACTTTTTATTCTAACTCATGGATCGCTTATCAAGTATTGTTGACGATTCTAGTCTCTGTTGTATCTACTGAAAGAAGGTTTTCAAAGTTAAAATTGATAAAATTATATCTTCTCCCGAGTATATCACAAAAAAAAAGATTGAGTGATTTGACGATTTTATCTATTGAAAGAGAGTTGGTTAGAGAAATTGATTTTGAAAGCTTGGTTAATGATTTTGTGGGAAAATGGAAGAAGAATTATGTTTTTAATTATTATCATGTTTGGTTTTTTATTTATTATATTAGACATTTTTAATTAATTTTTATTATTATATATTTTATTTTTTTATAAATTAATGTTTTGTACATTAAAAAAATTTTTGTTATCGCCTAAGACATCAAATTACTTTGGCACGGTTATATAGTAAATCCAAGTTTATAATATTGATATTTTTCTTTCTATTCAAAGAACTTTTTTAAGTTTATTACTTACATCTGTATCAAATTTTCCTCTTTACTATATTGATGATGTTGATATATACTCTTTTCCATATTAACATATTGATAAATAGCTTTTCCTTTCTATTATTAAAAAATATATTACTATTGATATTTTCCTTTATTAATATTATAACTAATTAATTTTCGTAGATAGATAATTAATTATTAATGTTGATGTGTACCAATAGAATTGAATTTAGAGGCATTTAGTATCAACTTTTATTAGTAATAGATATGAATATGTTAACATAGACTCAAACATTCGATGTTCTTAAAATTTTGTACTTGAATGTATTTTGTTATGGAATATTTTTAGAAAATACATTCAAGATACTTAAAACTTTGACCAGGAAAGTCACCAAATAGAAGCCAAACAGCAAGAAAAATTATAGCTTTTTCAGTCAGTGGACCCACAGACAGTAGATAAAGTCTTTGGACATATTATTACTAACCTTTTGTGGCGGCTAAGTGTTTATCTCAACCCCACAATCATCTGTTTCCTCGAAGCTTCGTTTTCTATCTTCTTTGCCAAGACAAATAAATAACGAATCCTTTATATAAATTAACATCTCTCACCTGTGTTCACATGAAACTTCTCATTTCTTCTGTTCGTTGACTTAAAGTTCTCTCTCCTCTTCTTCAATCTTCATCTTGAGTGAGATTTTTTTATCCTTTTCATGGATGCTCTTCTGCACGTACCTGTTGATGGGTTCAGATTCGAAAACGGTTCTGGATCTTGCTGCAAACCAAGGAACAATCTTGACTCTGGGACCTCAAATCGTTTTACCAGTTTCAACGAATCTGAATCTCCTCAGAACCCTTCTTATTCTCCGACCGAATCTACGGTATGTTCAGATTACCATCCTGTTTTTAAGTACATCAATGACATGTTGATGGAGGAAGATCTTGAAGAACAGTCTTGTATGTTGGAAAACAGTTTGGCCTTACAAACCGCCGAGAGATCTTTCTTCGATGTGCTTCAGGATCAAACTCCTCCTCTGTCTGATCAAGTCTCCGGCGATATAGACGACGGTTCTCTCGGAAACCTCAGTTTCTCGCCTGATATTTCAGAGGAACCAACCAGAAGGTATCGCCTACGTGATGATGATGATATTGAAGGTGGAAGGAAATCAAAGCTTCCTGCAATTTCTATGGTTGACGAGCTGGCGGAAAAGTTTGAGGAGGTGTTGTTGGTGTGTCAAAAGAACGATCAAGGAGAAGCAGTAACACCGATCAAAACCGTACGAGCAAAGAGCTCATCGAACCGAACCAAGCCTCGAATCTCAGATCAGCCAGTGGATATGAGGAATCTCCTGATGCAATGCGCGCAAGCAGTGGCGAGTTTTGACCAGAGAAGAGCTAATGAGATACTCAAGGAGATAAGGGAACACTCTTCAAGCCACGGAGATGGAACTCAGAGACTTGGTTACCATTTCGCAGACGCCCTTGAAGCACGTATTACCGGAATTATGACTTCACCAGTATCTGCAACTTCAAGCAGAGCATCGATGGTGGATATTTTGAAGGCGTACAAGGAGTTTGTTCAGGCTTGCCCCACTTTAATAATGTGTTATTACACTGCAAACAGAACAATCATTGAGCTTGCTTCCAAAGCAACAACGCTTCACATCATTGATTTCGGGATTCTCTACGGATTTCAATGGCCTTGTTTGATACAAGCCCTGTCAAACCGGGACGACGGACCACCGATGCTCCGTGTGACCGGAATCGAGCTTCCTCAGCCAGGATTCCGTCCATCGGAACGCGTTGAAGAGACCGGGAGGAGACTGAAGAGGTTCTGCGACAAGTTCAACGTTCCCTTTGAGTACAGCTTCATAGCCAAAAAATGGGAGGACATAACTCTTGATGAGCTGATGATCAACAGCGGAGAGACAACAGTCGTCAACTGCATCCTACGGCTACAGTACACGCCTGATGAAACCGTGTCACTCAACTCTCCGAGAGACACGGCTCTGAAACTATTCAGAGACATCAACCCTGACCTCTTTGTGTTTGCAGAGATCAACGGGATGTACAACTCGCCCTTCTTCCTAACGAGGTTCAGAGAGGCTCTGTTCCATTGCTCGGCCCTCTTTGACATGTTCGAGACCACAATATCGGAAGAGAACGATTGCAGGACGCTGGTGGAGAGGGAGTTGATCATAAGAGATGCGATGAGTGTGATCGCCTGTGAAGGCGCTGAGCGGTTCGCAAGGCCAGAGACCTACAAGCAATGGCAAGTTAGGATAGTAAGAGCCGGGTTTAGGCCAGCGAAGCTAAACAAACAGATCATGAAGGAAGGGAAAGAGATAGTGAGAGAGCGTTACCACAAAGACTTCGTCATTGACAACGATAACCACTGGATGTTTCAGGGATGGAAAGGAAGAGTCCTCTATGCTCTTTCTTGCTGGAAACCTGCTAAGAAGCAATACAAATAGACTATTTTTGTAATCCTCTTCATGATTTTGTTTAGCTTTCCCATTTCTTTGTCTTTTTTGTTTGACAATGATTTTGTAGAAACTGTTGGATTTTGCTCTCATATTTTCTTTCTGGCAAAGTACTGAAGTACATATGGCAAACCAAGAATACCAAACCTTGTTTCAAAGAAAACATACAAAACAAAAAATCCATAACTTTGCTATGACTTATCAAACCAAATAGCAAATCAGAGTGTATGGTGGTTATACAAGAGGATGATCTACTAGCAACATAAAAAACACATTGTGCGGTTAACCGTTAACAGAAATTATCACAGTAAGATTTAAATTAACCGGTTTGGGTTTGAGGTTTTGACCGCTTCAGGACACTCCAGTCCAACTTCTTGCCTTTTCCATTTCTCAGAAACTTGTTTGGATATTGTTGTTCAAACACTACCTCAGACTGCTTTCTTTTCATGTCACCGTTAGATTCTTGGCTAGGCTCGACCTCTGGACACTCCGGTTCATCAAGGCAAGATGCATTTTGACTGGTTGGTTACATAAAAGAGAAGCAAAATCAGTAATGATAGGTTTCTCTTCAGACTCCATCGCTACCAGTAAGGTACTAGTTTTCCCCCCCCAGAATAAGATGATTTGGATAAAAACTTAGGCATCTTTCCTAAGTAGCCGTAGTGAAATAATAATAAAAAACGAACATGAAACGAGAAGATACAGACCTAACAGACATCTTTCCTTCATTACTGCTACAACTTTTGGTTGAACCATCTGTTCTTTGACCGTTTAATGCCTCTTCGTTCAATTTCTACCACAAAACACCAGTTTTCTATTTCAGAATGTTGAAACTACAGAACATCAAATCACAAACATCTCGGTTCTCACACACATATGATACCTCACACTTACCTCAATATAAGGATTAAAAGACTGAAATGACATACGTCCAACAAATTCTCCTGGCTGAGGATCCCAATCAGTGATGACCACACTGATACAATAGAAAGAACACAAATTGGAGTAAATATCATATATGTATCACCATATATTTCACAAATAACATCAAATCAGATAATAAGTTTTTGGGAATTGAGTTAAGCATGCAAGCTTAAAACAAAATTGAAACATCAAACACCGAGTAAAATGGATACAGTACCACTTCTTTCTAACAGTGCTAAGAGACGGAAATCTCTCGTTTGGCTCTTCATTTTCTCTACTTTCAGAGTAGCTCTTTGCATAAACTACAGAGAAAACAGCATTAAACCACGCAATTTCTTCAATTAAGATTCCGACTTTTAGACCTCAATCGAATTGAAGAATGACGACACTAGTAGATTCCATAATCAACACCAAGAGTTGTTTTGAAGAAACAAACACCATCATAAGTATAGAACGGAATCCACTTCTCGATAATCGAGAATTCAAGTTCGTGCGCTGAAGCGTACCTTCAGGTTTCTCAGAGTCCCACTAATCTCTCTCTTCGCCATTGTAGTCTCTTCTCCGATTTGAGCTATGGAGGGACGCTAATTTCTGAATCAAACGATAATCCCAAATTGTCTCCCGCTAGGTTTTTGATATTCCAACCGGGAAGGACATTACTCGAATATACAGCAAATGTATGTTTGTTATTATTATGGGCTCATCATTTTGAAAACAATTGGGCTTGTAAACCCATGTATCTCGAACCCATCCCTTTATCTGTTTTCTGGACTGCCGCAAAAAACATCTTCGCAAATTTTGCAATTGAATTGCGAGTTGTAATTTGAAACCAGTGTTTTTCAAACCAGGCAAACCGACGGTTGGACCGGATTCAACCATAAATGAAAATTCTTCTTTATTGGATCTAATCATCTATCTATTACTAATAAAAGTTGATGTTAAATGTCTCTAAGGGTGTCCACATAGGATTTAAAGATTCAATTATATTGGTACACATCATCATTATTTTTAGTTAATTATATATTGTATATTAAAATTAAGTAATTCGTTTTAATTGTTATAAGAAAAATTTCTAAATTTTAATTAATTTTGTTTTTGTTGTTATTAGGAAAGTTTCTAAAATTTAAGTTAGTTATTAATAAAAAAATAGTTTTGAAAATAGATCTTATTTTCTATTAACAATAAAAGGTAAATTAACATATAAATATATTATGAAAGAAAAATCATATATATTGAACAAAATTATTAAAAACTGTATTTAAAACCATAATTAAATTATTTTAAAATTTTAATCACGACAAACAACTAAAATCTGAACTGCTAACTTAAAATATATTAGTTGTGGTCTGTGTTGATGTTTTAGGCCAATGAGAGCGTCCACATAGGACATATATACTCAATCTGATTACTATATATCAGCGTTTTTTATTAAACATAAAAAATAAAAAATAATATTAATAATTTAAATAAATTAAAACATACAAACATATAAAATTATCATAATAGAATAGAAAATTAAGATATTTTTTTAAACTAAATAAAATAAATTTATGTCAAAAGTTTAAATCTATTGTGAAAATAAAATGGAAACTCATTGTCACAAAAACTAAACTAACAGAAAAAAATATGTAAATCAATAACGAAAAATTTAAATTAAAAAAAATTAGAATATATATTTTAAATGATTAATTTATTTAGAAAAAAATATTAAGATTAAATTTTCATACAAACATATAAAATTGTTATTTAAAAATATCAATACTACCCAAAAAACATTCATTTTAAATTATCAAAAAAGAAAGTCATCTAAAACATATAATTTTTGGGGAAATATTTAAAAAAATTAACAAAATCTTAACAAACCAAAATGATACTTTATTCTAATTACTGAAGAAAGCAATATAAAAAAATATTTAACTAACAAAAACCAAAACATAAATTATTTCTTACAATATGTCAATGCAATTAAAATGAAAGTCCATATCGAAAAAGTTAAATTAACAAAAAAAGATGATATTAACTTAACATCTATGTTATTTATTTAACAAAATCAATATAAACAGAATAAGTAAGGGAACAAAAAACTTAAATAATACTAAAAACTTAAATAACAAAAATATATAAATATTTAAGCTAATTATTTAAGAAATCAATATTAAGAAATTAATTAACTAAAAACTAAAACAAAAATTAAGTTTTACAAAATATATTTTTTTTAAATACTTAAAAATATATTGACTTGATATCTGACTAACTACTTAAAAAGTTCATATAAAAGTATTTATCTAACAAAAAAAATTATTTCTTTAAAATATCAATGTTTTAACACAATGGTGTGTTAAAATAAAATAAAAATCAATATAAAGAGAGGTAAATTGTCAAAGAAAATGTCGTATAAAGTAAAATTAGCTTGATATTTATGCTAACTACCAAACAAATATTAACTAAAAAAAGCAAATGATGGTATAAGCTTTTGAAAAAAGTTCACATAAAATTTAGAATAACCAGTTATAGCATGTCAAAATAGCATTTTAATTAATTTAAAAAGTAAATTTAACAAAGAACAAGCATTTATGTAAAAGATATTAGATTAATATATATGCTACTTATTTGAAAAATCAATAACAAAAGATATTAATTAAAAATATATATGTTTTAAGTATATCAAACCTAGAGAAAATTAGATAATTAAAATAAAATATAAAATTACCATCAAAGATATTTAAAATAACAAAAAACAATATATAAGAGGCAAATTAGTTTGAAATATAGTTCCAAAAATAATCATGATTTCTAAAATATTGGTGTTGACTATGAATAACCATATAAAGTTTTAATAGGTTATACATGTTTCTAAATCAAACATATTATTTAAATTTACAAAGATTATACCTTGGTTGCGTCTGGTTGGAAAATTAACAAAGTAAAATACTGCACAAGTAACTTTACATTCAAAATATAATAAGTAATAAAGTCTGATTTGTATACATATTTACTGCTTATAACTTAGTCAACATGAACAACACATGAGCAACATCCTCTAAAATTATATTTAAATAAAATAATATGATAAAGTTATTAATCAAATTCAAATGGGAATATATGAAGATAAAATATTCAAATCAAAACATGAATAAACACACAAAAGATAAAACAAAACAGTGATAATGTGAAGTCTCAACATCATCTTACATGTTTAAAACAAATATTAGCAAATCGTTGACTGCAAATAAAACAGATCTTATAAACTGAATAGATATATAACCTAAATTCGTAGAAGGTCTAGTGGAGAAGCAAAAAACAGCTTTACACGATTAGTGTAGCTTACTAACAAAAGTAAATCTGAATCAACACATATCATATATTATATGTGTATATGTACACAATATTAGTGAGACATTTAGTAAAGAAACTAAATATTTAAATATATACACCTTTTAAAAATAAGAACCATAAAAATCCTAAGGATACAAAACAAACCACCAAAAATTTAGTAAGAAAATCATTTTTCTAAATCAAATATATGCACATCGAAGTTAGATAATTCGTTAGGTATCATTACTATGATTTTACTTAAGAAGATTTATAATTTTATAAACAAAAATAGGAAATACTACATATTATGTTTTAATTTTTTTATATAAAAGAAAATTTCTATAAATATATTATAGTTTTGATAATTTAAAAGATATTAGACAAAAAATTAAATCAAATTATTAATATAGACTCGCGTGTAGCTGATAGGGTCAGGTTTTACCCAAATAAAACTACTGCAAGTGCACAGCAAAGCAGTTGTAGTACAAGGGGTTATCGAATCCCAAGGGAGTAAGTAAACTACACTATCGAATGTAGATTCAGATTAAGCTAAGCAATAAGTAATGAATGTAATGCGAAATAACTAAAGTAATAAAAGCAAGTGGGCGTTTTTGAGACTGTTCTTAAAGTTCAGAAAGCTAAAGGCGCTAAGTCAGGACAGTTCGCAGGTTGAATCCGAGAGTGTAGAATGCATGCAATCAGGAATGAATTAAAACCGTCTTGAACATGAATCGCAAAGATATAACTAATCAATTCTCATTGCAGAAGTTATCTATGTCTAAATCACAGAGTTTCAAATCTCTTTGCAAACCCTAACAACCTAAACATGCAGTAATGATCAGGTTCAATTATTCACAAAACTCCTAAGCCAAATCTCTTTGTACTAGGGCATTTTGCTCATCTAATACTAGTTCAGGTGATTAATAATGCTCTCACATCTATCAAAAACCTAGGGTTTCGAAATCCAGATGATGTGTCTAAGAAATCGATTTTTGATGCAAGCACAGATGAAGAACCAATGAATTTCCTATAAGTTTTTAGCAATTCTACAAACTCTTATTCAACCTTTGAAAAGCCCTAACTTAACTAACAAACTACTCAGACATGGTGATTTGAGAAAACATCATGAAAAGAATAGATTGCATAAAAGAAATAAGAAGTAGAAATAAAGGAGTTCAAAATCTGCTCTGAAGGAGTCTGATTTGTCTCTCCAAAAGCTCTGCTACAAATCTCTCTCTAAAGCTCTCAAAAATAATAAGATACAAGATATCTGCCAAAAGAATGGCTGAAAAACCTAATATACAAGCTAAAACACGATCTGAGGCCTTTTTGCAAATATTAGAACTTCTGGGATAAAACTGCAATTTCTTCTCAATCTTTTAGAAAACAGCCACGACCTCCTTCCTTGGTGGGTGACGAGCGTCACCAGATTGGTGACGAGCGTCACCCATATGCATACTTTTCTTCCCGAGTTAGGTACTTCGTGGCTTAAACTCAAAATGCTCCAAAAGGCTCCAATATCTCCAATTATGCTCCAGACATGCTATAACCTGCAAAGACTCTTCTAGGACTCTAAAAAGACCAAAAGAGTCAATAAAAAGGACTTATACCATGGTTAAAAACCATAAAAACCATGATATATCAGTAGCGTGAGTTAAAAGCCTAGTTACTAATAAACATTGAAGCTAAATGCCTCTAAGGGTGTCCACATAGAATTTAAAAAATCAATTATATTAGTACACATCAGCATTGATAATTAATTATCTATCTATAAAAATTAATTAGTTATAATATTAATAAAGGAAAATATCAATAGTAATATATTTTTTAATAACAGAAAGAAAAATCTATTAATCAATATATTAATATCAAAAAGAGTATATAACAACATCATCAATATTGTAAAAAGAAAAATTTGATACAAATGTAAGCAATAAACTTAAAAATGTTCATTTAATGGAATGGAAAATATCAATACTATAAACTTGGATTTACTATATTGTAAACTATATTATATTGTCATGCACAAATTGTTTTTGATAACCTATCTCTTAGAAAATATCAAATATGAAATTATTTTTTGCAAAACATTATTTTGTTAAATAAAATTATTTTCTAAAAATTTTAATAACCTATCTCTTATGAATTTTTTTGTTAATTTAACTTTTAAAAAATCAAATTATTTTTTTGTGTATCAAATATGAAAATATCAAATTATTTTCCGCAACCTGTCAATACAATTAAAATGAAAATTCATATCGAAAAAGTTAAATTAACAAAAAAAGAGGAAATTAACTTGATATCTATGTTGTTTTAAATTTAACAAAATCAATATAAACAAAATAAGTAAAAAAAATACAAAAACATAGGCAATACTAACAAAAAAAAGTTAAATATTTAATCTAATGATCTAAGAAATTAATTAACAAAGAAAACAAAAATGACAATTAATTTTTTAAAAATGCTAAATTTTCAAAAATCAAATAAAAAGAAATTTACTTGTAAAAATAAATAGAAATGAAGACAAAAATGAAGTTATGTCTTCAAAAATATCAATATTTTTAAAATAATTATGTGTTAAAATAAAATAGAAATCAATATCAAGAGAGATAAATTATCAAAGGAAAAAATTATATAAAGAATATCTAGCTTGATATTTAGGCTAATATTTTAGAAAATTAACATAAACAAATTAACTACAAAAAAACAGAGGATGGTATAAACTTTTGAGAGAAGTCCACATAAAATTTAGAATGCCCAGTTATAGCATGTCAAAATAGCATTATAATTAAAATAAAAATTAATGTAAAAAATAAATTTTAAAGAGATTAAATTGATATATGCTACGTATTTGGAAAATGAATAACAAAAGAGATTAATTAAAATATATATATGTTTTAAATATAAAAACATGCACAAAACTAGATAATTAAAAATAAAATATAGATTACCATCGAAAGATATGTAAAATAACAAAAAAACAAAATTTACGAAGAAAATTAGTTTTAAATTTAGTTCTAAAAAATTTATGATTTTTTAAATATTGTTATTGAATATGAATAATCATATAAATTTATAGTGGGTGATACAAGTTTTTAAAGCAAACATATTATTTAAATTTACTATGACTAATACCTTGACTGCGTCTGGTTTAAAAACTAACATAATATACTACACAAGTAAGTTTACATTCGAAATATAACAAATAATATATACACATTTACTACTTATAACTTAACCAACATGAACAACAAATGAGTAACATCTTCTAAAATTTCTTTTAAATAATAAAGTATGACAAAGTTATGAATCAAACTCAAATTGAAATATATCTAGATAAACTATTCGAATCAAAACATGAATAAACCACACAAAATCTAAAAACAGTGATAATGTGAAGACTCCACACAATCTTACATGTTTAAAAAACAAAAACTATCAAATAGTTGATTGCAAATAAAACAGATCTTATAAACTGAATAGAGATATAACCTACAATTCATAGAAGATCTGGTAGAGAAGCAAAAAGCAGCTTTACATGATTATTGTAGCATCCTAACAAAAGTAAATCCAAATCAACATGAATCATATATTATATATACATATATAGGTATATAACATGAGTGAGAAATTTTATTAAAAACTAAATATTTGAACATATAAACCTTAAAAAGAAGAACTACGTATATACAGATATCCTAAGGACACAAAACAAAACACCAAAAACTTAGTAAGAGAATTATTCTCTAAATCAAACGTATGTACGTCGAAGTTGGATCATCTGTTAGATGTTATTACTATTTTGAATTTAATTTATAACATTTATAATTTTATAATAAAAAATAGGTAAGCTACATATTATGTTTTATTTTTTTTTAATATAAAAATTAAATTTCTATAAATATATTATAGTTTTGATAATTTAAAATATATTAGTAAAAAACAACTAAATCAATTATTAATACAGACTCGCGCGTAGAGCGAGTTAAAAGCCTAGTATAATATATAAAAGTTGATGGCATAGTGCATTGATGGCGTCCACATGAGATTAAAAAACTCGATCTGATTGGTCCACATCAGCATATTCATTAAATAAAAAAATGTTAAGTATGATTATAGCGGAAAAACATGATTTAATTGGTCCACATCAGCTTTTAAATCAAACCAAAAATTATTAAGTATAATCAAATATTAAAGGTTAATTTAACAAATTATGTCCAAAAAAAAATTCAATCTGATTGATCCAAATCAACATATTTATTGAATCAGTAAATATTAATATGGTTTAAATTTAAAAGTTAAATAAAAAATTTAACAATTAACAATGCCTGTATAAAAAAGTAAACATTATCAATTATCAATTTAAAAAAATCTACAATAACTCGATTTAACAATTAAAACAATGAAAACTGAATAAAAATATAACATAAAACTCTTGTAAGACATGATAGAGAAGGAAAAAATGGTTTTGCATGATCATTACAGCTTCCTAACAAAATTAAATACGAATCAACATGAGTCATGACTTATATATACAGTGGTACACAACATCAATAAGATTTTCAATAAAAAAATTAAATATTTGAACACATAAACCTTCAAGAAAAAAGAACTATAGAAATTCTATAGAAAACAGAAAATAATATCAAAATCTTAGCAAGATTATATTTCTCTAAATCAAATGTATATGTACGTCAAAGTTGGATAATTTGATTGGTGTCATTGTTATTATTTTACCTAGTAGTTTTTAAAAATTTATAAATAAAAATATGATAAATTACACATTATATATTAAATTCTCTTATATAAATGAAAATTTCTATAAATTTCTATAATTTTTAATAATTTTAAAGATAATAGCTAATCAAATAAACTAAAATATTAATACAGACTCGTGCGTATCGCGAGTTATATACCTAATATTTATAAAAATTCTCCCAAAATCAAACTTATTGAATTCGTTATTTATGACAATTTTCTCAATTTTCCTCTTATTTGGAAAATTGAAATTTTAACAAAAATAATATATCAAAATTAATTTTGAATTATTTGTAAAATATTTTGTAGTTAAAAAGTGATTGATCCAAATACCACCTTATAAGATGGAATTTGAGAAAAAGAGAAAAATTCATTAACGTTAACAACTAAAAAAATACAATGACAACAAAAAAATCGTGTTTTTCAAAGGACCTGCGGTTATTATGCTGCTTTTGAAATCTCTCCCCCACTGGTTAATTTTTGTGCACCAGCTTTCATATTAAAAGCTTTAACTTTGGGATTTGCTAAGCTAAGAACAATGGCTCTTTCTCGATCCAGAATAGGAGAAGAGTACAAAAGGTTTGGGTCGAGGGTACGGAGATCGCGAGCGTGGACCTGGACATGGTGCATAATCGTGTATTTGTCTACGTCAAGCACCGTTTTCTGCCTCGTCGCGTCTATGGAAATCCAGCTCCGCGATGACTGAGGTGTCTTCCTCTTCACCGTGACAACCGCGCCGATGGATCCACCAGAAACGGTTCTCTGTCAGGTGACATCTCCGATTATAATCTTCATTGTTTGCACTCTTAGCGCCAAATAAGTCAATGCGATAAATGAAAGCCAATAGCAAAAAGCACCCAATCGATTCAGACTTTTTGAGTACTGTTCATATGAAATTGACGGAGAAAAGAAAAACCCAGTTGGATTAAGAAAAGTGGGTTTTCATTGTATCTGCTCTTTTTCTATTATAAAATTCATCGAAACTTGTTAATCTTTATTTTTAAAATCCATTATGTGATTTTTTTTTTTTTTTTTTTTTTACTCCACGAATGTCTCTAATATATCATTATCCAAGTTTTTTACATATAGTCATGAACAAAGATAAAAAACAACAAATATTTTAGATTTGATAGTGGAAAGCGTCATATGATTTTGTACCTGCCCTACAGTAACAAGCTTGGCATTCAAACAAAGGCTGAGGCGCAGCATCAGTGTCTGCAATCTCATATCGCCGGCTGTTGCGACTTGTGAAATAAGGTTTATTGCAGAACTTGCACTTGGGAAGCATAAGCCAACACTCAAGTCATAGAACATTGCCACTGAACGCTGCTTCTTGAATCCCAGTATCTGGCCCAAGGCACACTGAGCATTCCACGGACCACGCATCTAGGGAAGCAAAAGCGGCATCCCTTGCACTTGCGTTCACTCGTTTGCCTCTGGTTCTTCAACCAACAAGAAATACATATTGTTAGTATTAGAGTCTTGTAAGCACTCCAATTTATCTTTGAAAGTGTGTACAAATTTTTCAGTCTACTTACACATGAACCTCTTGAGCAAGGCGGAATCATCATGACTTCGTCGCATTTGGGACAGACCTCGAGGACGGTAAGTAGCAAGTGATGAGAGATGTTCTTTAGTGAAGCCATTGATGCCATTGAGTGAAGTGTCTCCATGTTATGATTGTTCTTCGTCAACTTTTCAACACATCTCATGATTCCTTCTGGACATAACTCTTATGTATCCCGGTAAAATTATATGAGAAAGAAAATTAAATACGAGAATTCAATTATCTAGAGATGATCAAACATGTGACGTATTATCAAGATAAAAAAATTGAAACAACAAAACTGAAAAGAAAAATGTTTTTCAATTGTTCCCAAATTCTTTCAACTTTGCAAAATTCTCTCAAATCTCAAATCTTTTTAAAATTTCTTCAAATTTAAGTAATATATAAATTATCCAAAATCATCAATCCAATACACCCCCTAAAACTCAAAAAGTTAATAATAAAACTCAGAAAGAGTTAGATCAGTTAAAAATCGGATTCAACCATCAAAAACCCTAAAAATCACGATCTATCAAACCAAATTTTATTATTTTTGTCTTTTAATTATATATATTTTTCAAAAGGAATATATTCAATGATATATAAATTTCATTCAAAATTAAAAATTCTAATTTAACTTTATGATTTCATGACATTTACTTTTTTCGTTCTATATTTATTTTTTAATTATTGTTACACTTTTAATTTGTTAATTTTATCAAATAATATAATTATCCAAATTTTTTATTCAAAGATCATATTTATAATCATGGAAAAAAGTATAACATCATAGTATATGGTTCATATGTATCATTTTTAATATAACATCAAAACCAATCAAATCCAATCAAACCTGGTCAGAATATATTGACCCACAACCCAAAACAATTCTGGTTCGGTCACTTAAAAACATGAGTTGTTTACACATATGGACACTTTTTTATATTTTGTTTTCCACACTTATTGCATTTGACACAGTTCCAAACATATTTTTGCACCCATCGATCCCAAATTCGCCCTTATTCACAATCTATGTTATAATTATTTTAACCGCCCATAATTTATTTACCCCCTCGTCGTCTATCGTTGGAAAAGTCAATGCGTACTAGAAATGAAGAAAATGCACCGAAGACAAAGTGTGTGAGAGGTTCGTTGTGGTGTCTACAGCTGTAGTCATTCGGAATAGAGCATAGATCGGAGATTTTTACAAGAGCTGATACCTTGAAAATACGCCTCCGTAAGAGTTGGATAACGAGAGGGTTCTTGTTGTTGTGCTTTCGGAGTAGGGAATGTAACAAGACTGATCGAAAGTGGTTAAGGTTCGATTGCATCCATTGTTGGAGATTCAACACCGGCAATGTTTGACAGTGACGGATCTGTAATTTTTGTATTGCGGGAGTGTATTTTGCACACTAATTATTAGATTTCAAGGTTCGTGAGTTCGATCCACCTGCAAAAAAAAAAAAATCTGGGTTTTGGCGGAGAAGATGATGAAATCATCCACGATAACTGATTGTAGGTATGGATATGGCTACATGGATAGTTGGAATGAAAACAAAATTTGGAAAGCATGTATCCTTATGTTGATCCACTATATCCTAACCTCGTAGACGACTTATTATGGATGAACACATGGAGTGAGCTTCTGAACAAATTGCATGGACATAATACGCGAATGGACAGAACAACTATGATCTCTTTACATGAAAATAAATATATCCACCATAGCTAAAATTGTATGGATACATTCACGTAGGGGTTTGGCGGCGAGAACTGTATGGACTTGTAACCGGCGTCCACTAACATTTTTCCATCAGACTTAATTTATGGGTGTAGTGCATAATTACATGTTTATCTATGACACAATGACCAAATGGATGATATTTGACCATCGGGCTTTGTCTACTGGGCTATGTCCATGTGTTATAGGTATGCATATAAGATAATGGATTTTATGGTCTTATAATCGGTGTCCATGAGAAATTGTCCGTTATGTGGTGACCATGTAGTGAAATGGTCATATGGTTGCACAAGTGACAAGCCTAATGAAAAGGGTGGTTATACATTTTATTAAATGTGTCCACTTTAGGCTATCCATATGACACGGCCATGTATGGATGGCTTGTTTCTGTCACTAATGTGCCAAAAATGTAGTTGGGTTCCTAGATATCATGTCCATGTGGATACTACCATGTGATAATATCATATAGATAAAAGCAGATGCAAGAATCGTTTTTTAGTTAATTTTGGCTTCTTGAAAATGTATGCCCGAACGTCATCACCCATACTGATGTGTTCTTACCGTTTCATCCAAGCTAAATGGTAGTTGTGTCTTATGGTTGCTGAAACATGTTATTTTACTTTTTTTATCATTTGGATCAGCGGCAGGCTTTCTTATCATTTGGATCAGAGGCAGGAAAATTGAAAGGATAATACAATCATTTATACAAGCTAATGGAGAAGAGTAATGGACACCCTCTCATGGGCTCTTATGGATACCCTCTAATAGAAAGATTGTATGGACACACTCTCATGGACACCTTCTCATGGACGATGGTGCCAAACTCGGGTACTTAGAGATCAACGATGATAATGGTACTCGTGAAAATTTAGATACTTTATCCATAGTCCTTTGATCATGGTGCTTTGTCCACAATATCTTGTCCGAGGTTATGTGGTCCATGGTTAATACAAGTATTTGGAAGAATGTTTTTAATCAAAAAAAGTAATTGTGGACAAACGTACACTCCATTTATAAAGAGGAGAACATCTCTACTCTTCTCCATCCCTTTGAATTATTTTGTCTGCTTCGTTGTGAATTCTTAAAAATAAACTGTTATATATTAAGAACCTTTGGGATTCAACAAGAGATGAAAATAAACGTTACAGTTAAAGTTTTTGTTCTCATATCTTGACCCTCCTGGAAAGTTAATGTAAGATGCAAAGACTAACATAAAGGCATCAAAATATCTACATATATTTATATACCATTCAAATCTAATGGACACAATCACAAAATATAGAACATTCTTATGACCACAATCTCGTCAATGAAATCTTGTGGATACGCTCTCATGGATACAAACGCATGGACATACTAGCGAAGTGTTAATAAATCATGGAGATAATGAATCAATAGTCAAGACAGCTACGGTCAACGAAACATGTCTAACAATGGTTAATAACAAGTAGATAAAATGAATCCATAATCAATCCATCTATAGACAACAAAACATAGAAATGTCTTACATACCAACAAAAATCTAAAGCCGCTTGAAAACAAAAAATACATGAACTGGATAAATGGCAAGACTATGGAAAATGGATGGTCGCCAATTTTGTTGAAAACTAAAATCTAAGGTCGCCAAACAACAGACACATGTCAGAGTTGGATACATTGATCTTTGAATTTGATGCTATACAAGTAACCAACTTGATGCTATACAGGTAACAAACTTTGAAATTGGTGACTATATGACCATTGATCTTTGATGAATGTTCAACAAGAATAGATTAGATATGTAATTATTTGTGGTGTGCCAGAATATTAATTGTGCTTATTAAATAACTGCAAGATAAATTAAGAAGATATGCGTACCCCTGAGAGGAAAAGTGAAAGGGGTTAATAATCATACAAACGCCCATATATTTGGGTTGATCTGTATGTACACAAGTTAATGGATACACTTTCATAAACACACTGTATGGATATCCTGAATGGACAGTATCCCATACAAAATAGTAGTGGACAATTTCTCATGGACACACCGGCCCATAAACACATGCTGGTGGACACAACCTAATGACCATAATGTAAGTCATATCATTGTATTGTTATCATTTACGCATATTTTAAATTATTATTGTATTATTGTTATTTAAGCAATATTTTTTATGACTTGTAATTATAGGATGAAGAAGTTATTTTTCTTCCAACAGTTTTATGGATAAAATATCAATCACAATCATATTACATTACTATAGGTAAAATCAAATGTCAATTTTGTCCATATCCACTTTGTCCACACCATCTTGTCCACACAATAGTGTACATGCATCTCAATGTTGATGGACAAGGAACCATTTCATCTTCCATATCAAGAACTAAGATGGCGATGGTGGTGGTATCAGAGTATATCTGAGAACTCCAGTTAAAGTTGTCGTCTGAACCATAACGTTTGTTGAAAAATCATCGTGAGATCTATAAAGATGACTATGATTATTTCAGAGTATGTCTGGATATGATGGTTAGCAAGTGATCATAATAGAGTTTCAATGGTGGTGGTGACAAACTTCATCAATGGCGGTAGCAGAACTTCCCCAAATCATGTATGCTTCAACAAAATTTCTTTTAAATTATTGGATAACTATAAGAATATTGCTAATAAGTCGTACTATTGATGCGGCTAACAGAAATCCGCTGGAGGCGGCAGAGGAATTATATTAGATTATGGGATTTTTTGGTGGTGGTGGTGGAAAGAGATTTGATTTTATTTCAATGATAGGTTTTTAACATTTTCTGTTAATTGAACGAAGGATAGAAATGTCCTTTTAGATGGAAAAATGTGTAATAAGCTGAAAGTGTGTTAATCTGTTAATGAAAAGTAAAAAAGTGTGTGTGAGTGTAAAATTCTCTAAAAAATTGCTTAAAATTGGAACTTATTTGTAATGGTAAACTTTTGTTTAAAAAAACTTATTTATAATAGAAAAAAGTCGTTCCGGCAATACTGGTGCTAATGTATCTGTTTTAATCATCATTCAGCTTTTTTAAACCAGAATAAGAGATTTTGGCGTTGAGATCCTCATCAAGCAACTTGTTGTTCATCTTTATATCCATGTGCACAATCTTTATCACATCGTTCATGGAGAAATTTTAGTCATTTAGTTATGCCTAAGCGATCTTGGGCCACTCTAGTTTTTGATAGGTTACGTGTGCCTATAGCTTTCAATTTTCATGAAAATGAGGATAAGAAACAAAAGGAGAAAGTCTCAAGGATTAGAGAAGAAGTCAGTAGGAGAGTCTCAATTTTCATGAAAATGAGGATAAGAACCAAAGGGAGAAAGTCTCAAGGATTAGAGAAGAAGTCAGTAGGAGAGTCTATCTAAGAAGGAAAATTTGATATTATCTAAGTATAACTTAGTAATATGTCATTTTAATGTTTGTTGCATTTGGGTTAAGTAGTATT